TTCCAACTTTAAGGTTGGGTTTACGTGGGTGCTGCCAGCTGGCTGCCAGCCAAAATAAGCTTTTCCCCATTCTTAGCACAACATTTGATTCTTAGTATGTCCTCATCTTTTGAAGAACTCGATACCTGAGGCGTTGTTTTATAACTAGAGATTGCCATTTAGAAGTCCACCACTTAAGTGTTTCGAACGTAGTTGTGCAAATGACTGATCCGGAAGCCTTGAGCTATTCTCAGAGAAAAGGCAATACGTGCCCTAACATTATTATGATTGAAAAGAACAATAGTCTGGGTTAAAACCAAGAAATTGAAACACTAAAACTTTGTGCAAATTCATTATTTGACTTATTTGTCGTGTGTATTAAGTCAGTGTTCCAAACCGATGTTTCGGCAGCACATCGTATATTATTCACAAGCCGACCTCTACAAAATAATGGGTTCTTAAAGATTTTGGTTTGTTTGATTAGAAGTTGTTGTATTTTTCCGGAGGGCGAAGAAAAAATCGAAAGCTTAATTTCTCCGGATTGCGATTAGTACACAATGCAGCTTTTTCATGATTTGTCCTTGAAGTGGGTTTACTGGATTACTCGATGTAGAACAGAAACTCATCCCCAATTTTATCCATTTCCAGTAGTTCAGTGATTTTGACCGTTGCAAAGTTTGCTCAACCTAATTGTTATCAGTATGTCAAATGACCACTGACCACTTTCCAGAGAATTCCGTGATTTTTATCCTATAGTGTACTGTACTGTTCCTCCAGTAAAGCCATGTCGTGAGAAATGGATTGTTTTCGTAATAAGCTCGTCCAATTACCACACAAGGTAACATAGCAATACCCAAAAATTAGGTTGTCGACTGACTTTTGACGGTACTCCAAACTTTCAATTTCAGTCAGTTCTGATTTAGCAAGGGAAATCGGCTAAGCCAATATATTCTTTTGTAAAAGGAGGTTTCTTCTTTTGAATGATATGTAAGGTGCCAAAACCTGATAAAGATAACCTAATAACATACTTGAGAGTATTCAAAATTGTGCTTCAATAAGTATATGCTTCTGAATTTCATATCCCAAAAATTTTATATTTCAATATAAGCGGAAGAGACAGAGTTCGAATTTGGATATTGCAATTTACCATTCAGATTAATTTTCGCAAAAAAAAACCTATGCAAGTTGATGAGTATTGATCTTCCGCGATCCGTAAACAGTATAATACTGAAGTTTCGCTTAAGGAATTGTTGGAAGCTAGTTGCGGATGTCGCATCTATCCCATAGCAGCTTTGAGCGGAATTTCGATAGCTGATAGATGGCTTCAATTAGTTAGGTTTTTAAAAGTAGTACAACGAGGATTATTCGAAATGCTG